TACGATACTTCAACGTATTGAAGTATCATATGCTTAAAAATCACTTTCCTCACCAGTGTTTCTGCAGAGCTCTTGGGAACTCCGAAGAAACTCAACTCACAGCATTACTGAAGAGTCCCGTCGATTCTATCCCATTAGCTTGTGAATTCTAGGCATTCTGCCTCAACCAGAGAAAAGTGTGAATGAATGTTCTAGAACTAATGCAGCACAGATGACTATGGAAAGACTGGCCAGTTGAGATTAGGAAACAAAGTGACAAAAGTTAAACAATGACAGTGGGAAGCATTACACCCATTCCCTCAGTGCTTTTCCAGGGGGAAAATCCTTGGCTTTTTTCGTCTTTTTTATGGAGGGAGGAGTCACACTCAGCGATGCTCAGGGGTTACTCCTGGCTCTGCACTCAGGAATTACTCCTGGTGGTACTCGGGGACCATGTGGGATGCTGGGAATCGAACCGGGATCAGTAGCGTGCAGGGCAGACACTTCTTCCCCAGAAAATCCTTGAGGAGGTTTCCTGGAAACAAAAGTCTCAGCAAGAATCTGGCATCTTGCACACTCTAGGGGTAACAGCAGCTCAGATAGAGAAGGCAGCACCAAATAAAGGGTGTTGGGAAGATCCACTCAGGATGGGAGATGCATGCTGAAAGTAGACTCTATACCAAACATGATTGCCACTCAATGCCTCTTTTGCAGACCACAACACCCAAAAGGAGAGAGAGAACAAAAGGGAATGCCCTGCCACAGAGACAGGGTGGTATAGGGGGATTAGGGGGTGGGAGGGATACTAGGATCCGTGGTGGTGGGAAATGGGCACTGGTGGAGGGATGGGTACTCGATCATTGTATAACTGAAACCTGAGCACAAAAATTTCTAAGTCTACAACTGTACCTCATGGTGTTTCACTAATAGGTAAAAGGTAAAGGCCCTCCCGTTGATCATCGATTTGCTCGAGCGGGCCCAGTAACATCTCCATTGGAGACTTTGTTGTTACTGTGTCTGGCATATTGAATACTCTCGGTAGCTTGCCGGGCTCTCCGAGAGGGGCGGAGGAATCGAACTCGGGTCGACCATGTTGGCCGCTTGTAAGGCGAATGCCCTACCCGCTGTGCTATCGCTCCTGCCAAAGGATTAGTGGCCCGTACGGGGATCGAACCCGCGACCTTGGCGTTATTAGCACCACGCTCTAACCAACTGAGCTAACCGGCCAGCCTAATAAAAATTTTTAAAAAAAAATCTGGCATCTGCTGAGAAGACCTCATCTTCCTCCCACGGGTTCCAACCTTGTCTGTGCATGGACTTCTCTCGTCCCTTTGACACCCGCTGGTACATGACACTCCAGTTCCAGACTGTACCGGGACTAATGCAGCGAGCCATGACATGTCAGCCACAAAACTCATAGATGCTTATCTGAAACACTGACCCACAGACACTCCACCAAGTGACTAATAACGATCCGGTAGGGTTGGCATTGGTCGTAAATACACAAGAAGGTGTTTCAAGAATTTCAAAGGCCCTTGAATTAGGAAGATTTGAGTCCATGTCGGAGGCTGTGTCTTCAAGGAGGAGCGGGTTCTAAGGATGACTGAGAGCTAAATCCACACCAGTTCTTTCCTTTACTGACTTTCTGACTTAATGAGGTCTCAAATGCTTCTAGCCAGCTTTCTGGGATATTTTTGAAACCAACTTAAAAATAATATATGAAAGTCTGGAGAATTTGGAGAAAAAAAATAACTTTTGTATGACATTTCCTTCTCAAGGAAATAAAAACTTCCCACTGACAAAAAATAATAATGATGACAAAAATAAGTATCGTTGCAATAAACCAAGTGTATTTCCACAAAGGTTTTTGGTATTTTATAAAAGATAAATAAGAATAGTAACAAATGTAGAATCCCTTGATGGTTAAAAATACTTTCAGTTGGGTCTACAACAGGGTTAAAGGCTAAATATCAAGTTCTTAAAAAAATAATGCAACAAAATAAATCCAAAGACATAAAAGACATTCATACACATTCTAAACCATTTGGATTCAGGATCTAAACATGTATGGGACCATTTATGTGACTTTAGGCAAGTTAAAAAAAATGCCATTCCATTTTATTGCCTGCAGACGTGGAATAATGATGCCATCTACCTCATGGTTACCTGTGAATTAAATAAATTAATATATCTGAAATATTTTGTAGGATAACACTGTTTTGTCCTTCCTTCATAGCCTCAGGTAGTTTAGGTATATCGGGTTACTCCCATCACAGTGCTCCCATTCCTCTGTGTTTATTTGTAACTTCTTTCTTTGTGCTCTGTTGACTTGCAAATATTATTTTTCTCTTCTCCCTAAGTCCTTTGCATAGTTTATTCAGAGCAATGTCCTTTTTCTATGGACACAAGAAGACATTATAGGCTATGCTTTTGTAATGTGACTCTCAGTGATATTTCCCTCCTGGGCATCTGTTCTCTCACCTAAGCCTCAGCTGCCTTTACTTCCTTTAGCATCCCCAAAAGCAGGGTCCCGACAAGGGACTGGATGGAACCAGGGCAAGCGGTAAGCTATGTGCTACCCTGGCATCGAGATGGGCCTGGCCAAAGTGTCACAATGCTTAACTATAAGTTAAGAGCTTGGTCATGGACAAATGCTGTCATGATCCAAAAAGTAATAACTAGACTCGGACCCTGCTAGGGTTAGGAATGATTAATCTGGTCTGAACTCTGTAGTCTGAGTCTGTGGCAAGATGTTCCCAGGAGAGCTGCCCTCCAAGCTTCAATGGTATCTCTTACTGTGTCGATACAAAAATAACTAGTATTAAGATGTTGATAGTTATTGGACTGAGTCAAGGAGAAAAACACCTTAGGAGGTATTTTGCCTGGGGCAGCCAGGAAGGACTTTCTTATGTTGATTTTGCTACCTGACTGGGTGCAGCGTCAACCCAGAGTGCTGGGGAGTTGGAAAGACAAGAGCTGGAGAGAGAAAAGAGCAGGGTGGCAAGATGGACTGCAGAGAGGCTAGCAAGGGGGACAGAGAGAAGAATGTAGAAGAAGAATACAGGAGCATGTGGAGAAACAGAGATCCCAAGCTACGAGATGGAGCACAGAGAGCTGAGCGGTAGAGACAGGAGGAGACGGGAATGAGGAGCTGTGTGAGACCAGAATAGGAGGCTCAGAGAGACTGGGGCAGGCTCGTGGGAAGAATGGAATAAACGGCCACTGATCACCAACCAGCCTGGCCCTCGCTTCGTCCACCGTCTGCCCCATGGCCCGGGCCGCCCCGGTTGGGGGAGCGCCCCGAATCACAGGCAGCTAGGGGAAGATCCATCGGGGCCCCCCTGGCCATCCCCCAAAGATTTATTACACTATTTAAACCATTCATAGCAAATAGTATCAGTGTTCACTCTAAATGTCACCATTACTGCTTCTATTCCACGTGTGCCAGACAACTAAATAACATTTAGGACAAGGAAAGTTACGTCACTACTCACATAAAATACGGCTGTCATTACAGATCATTCAAAACGGATCTAAAGAAAGTTTATTATGTCACATTCTTTAGAATTTAAAAATGAGGTTAAAAGGAAAAGGGACAATCACAAATAATGACAGTATCTCATGATAAAGATCTGTGATTAATCTAGATATATAATAAAAATTTAAGATATTTTCATGAGTTTTAAAAATCAGCCAAAAATAAAATAATTACGAAATATTTTGGAATATTTTTGATGAAAATTACATTGTTAGAGTATGTCCCACTAGCGTCTACATAAACTCCCTCATTTTAATGGTTGTTATCAATTTAGGACTGAAAACTTTTTCATCCTTAATTAAAATCTTCACTTTAAAACTGTCAGACTGTATTATTTATATTATTCATATATACCTCACCACGTTCTGAAAATAATGGGTAATTTACCATATTAATTACAGATATTTGGGGCTGGAGCAATAACAGCAAAGAGAGCATTTGCCTTGCATGCCGTCAACCCGGGTTCGATTTTCAGCATCCCATATGGTCCCCCGAGCACCACCAGGAGTAATTCCTGAGTGCAGAGCCAGGAGTAACCCCTGAGCATCGCTGGGTGTGACCCAAGAAGCAGAAAGAAAAAAACTTACGGATATGTTGTAAGACACAAATCTTTAAAGGCCTATGAAAATTACTAAGAGTTCCTCCATCACTAGCAAAATTAGACCCTTATTTACAGCCTGACACAGACACTGGCTTTCCTTTATAAATAAATATATAAAATTAAATAAGCTCAGGGATCTAGCTCAGGGGCAGAGCACTGGCCTTGCAGGTGGGAAGCCCTGGGTTTCATGTCCAGCACTACAAAAAGAAAAAGAAAAATTTAAAATAGAAGCAAAAAATATAGTTTTTAATTTCGGCAAATGCAAAAGCTAGTTGAACGGGGTTGGAGTGGACATGAAGTGTTTGCATTTGGGCAAATCCCATCAGCAGAGAATTTTATGAATATAATAATGTTAGCATTAATTAACCCTTGTCTAATTTCAAATTGAGTCATACAGTAAAACGTTTTTTTAAAAACATAAATGTTTGTTCACTGGTATGTAATTAGTAATCTAAATTTATCTGTTTATTCAGTTCCACTTTAGAACATAAAATATTCATAACAAAGTTACAGATTGATTGGAAGACAATCTAATGGAAAAGCTCATCTGGACATAAAAAGAAAACTGAGATATCAGTATGTAATATTAGTTTATTAAAAACTGCATTTGATAGAAATTAATCATTTGAAAAAGATGATTTCATCCCCAAATACTTACTGAAGAGAAAAATATGTAGAAACATCTGTTAGACTAATATTGCTCATGTTAGTTTCTTTACAAATATAATTAAAATTAGATGTTTGCTCCTCTAGTCATGTCAATTATCTTCAATCAATATTAACCTCAACAAGGATATACTATAAATTTTTGGAGAAAGGTAATATTGAAAAAGAAGAAAGATTTTAGACGCGAAAAAGATGAAAAGTGGTAACAACATTTACCATTTGCTTCCTCTTGTATTTTAGGTTGATGATTTATTTGCATTTCTGCAAAAATAAAAGTGAAGTGCAGTTAATAATAGATCAGTCTGATGACATTATAAGTGGGAGAAAAAAAGAAGTGTGAATTTAACTCTTTCACAGTGAATCCTTAGGTTGATCTTAACTACCGTAGGATAAACGCCATTGCCAAGATATGTCTTTATATATGCATTTATTTTCAATGTGAGGAGCAACTATAAATCCAATGTTAATCAAAAGGGACATTCTGGGAAACTGGAGAATGTTCCTTGGTGTCCAGTTGTACCAGAATTATCTTGTACTTTCTTCATATGTTCTCAATGATTCTCACCTTGCAGATAAAGTTCAATTTCTGAATGAATTATGCCCGCAGACATAAAGGGAAGCCATCTGAGGAAAGAAAAGGGGAAAAATTAATTTTTTGGTAATTTTTACATTAAGCTTGATTCTGCATTAATTTTGCAAGTTAAATGATAACTATAAAAATAGCTTTTAGAATGTCAAGTGCATTCCAGTCTTCTGTGCACTCCACATGACGGTAAGAATGACATCAGAACGGTGGCTTCAAGAATAGAGTATACGAATTGCTAGCCTAGTATGCTAACTAGCTCCCTCTCCAGTTTGTCAGTTCTCAAACAATGGCGTTGGAATCTGCGTCTTCAGTGCCACTGGAATAGCCCCAGACTAAGCTGCAACACAAGCAAACACTCAGTGTCTGACACCTGCACTAACCTTGATAACACGGCCTGCCCCAAGACTTGAGGGGAACTTGACCCACTAAGTTAAATCCCACCAATATCAACATATCCACTAACAACATGATTAATTAAAAGACCTGAGCGATTGCATCCAGCAGCTTTCCAACTCCTGTGATACAGCATCTTTGTTGCAGAAACACCTGGACTAAATTTAGCAAGCCAATGTCATTACTTATGTGGCTCTCTACTCCTGCTCCCTTCTGACTAGATTCCTTCTCTAGATCCCCTTCTTCACAGAGATGTGGTGAAGCTGAAATGAATGGTGATGTAAAAATATTTTATGTATTATTAATTAGTGGGCTGGAGCAATAGCACACCGGGTAGGGCATTTGCTTTGCATGCAGCCAACCCAGGAGACCCAGGTTCGATTCCTCTGCCCCTCTCGGAGAGCCCGGCAAGCTACTGAGAGTATCTCACCCGCACAGCAAAGCCTGGCAAGCTACCCCTGATGTATTCCATATGCCAAAAAAAGCAACAAGTCTCACAATGTTACTGGGCCCATTCGAGCAAATCGATGAACAATGGGAGGACAGTGACAGTGACATTATTAGTATTTTTTTTAAAGAAGCCAATTTATTTCATTTATTTTTTTTTCTTTTTTGGGTCACACCCAGCAATGCTCAGGGGTTACTCCTGGCTTTGCACTCAGGAACTACTCCTGGCGGTGCTTGGGGGACCATATGGGATGCCGGGGATCGAACCTGGGTAGGCCACATGCAAGGGATACGCCCTACCTGCTGTGCTATCGCTCCGGCCCCTAGAACAGCAACAGTGACATTATTAATTAGTATATAAGTCTTACTATTATACCATAATCAAAGTTATTGTTATTCCTTATTTAGACATACTTCCATTTTCTCCCTGATCTATTCAATAACCACAGAAAGTCCTGGGGCAGGGCACTTTCTGGGGATGCAAGAAGAAAAACAGAGACCAGAAGCCTGAACTGAAGGCACTCAGAGTGTGGTAGGAAATGGATATGTAAAGATAGGACCAAGCGTCAATGGTGTGGAGATGCAGATGGAGATGAGGACAGACGAATGGTGATTGGCAAGAGCGGGAAGAAGAAGGAATGAAGAAGAAAGTTCAGTGAAGAGGTGAGACTTGAACACTTTGTTATAGAAGATTGAATGGTAAGCGGATGTTTGAAGATGTCTGGAAGAGGCAAGGATGGTCCCAGAGGGAGAGACAACGTGGCAGTGGTCCAGAGCTGTGATCGCATTTGGTGATTGCACAGGAAGATGCGCCCAAAGAGAGCAAGGAGTGGGTCCCATGCGGGAACGAGCCTGCCAGGAAACTCAGAGGCTGAGCTCTGGGACTAGGCCTGCCCACTGGCTTTGCGGTCACCAGATGATACCAGCGACTCGAATGTAAGTGAGCAGTGAGCACTCAGCTGACGTGTTCAGATCTTAAAAGCTCCGAGAGATCCAGTTTTCTACCTGCCACATCATCCCACAGTATTTTTCCTCCTCCAGACTTCATACTTACCTATTTCCTAATTATTCAGTATTGTTTTGATTTTATTTATTTGTTTATTTATTTATTGCTTTTTGAGCCACACCCGGCGATGCACAGGGGTTACTCCTGGCTCTGCACCCAGGAGTCACTCCTGGCGGTGCTCAGGGGACCATATGGGAATGCTGGGAATCGAACTCGGGTCGGCTGCATGCAAGGCAAACACCCTACCCGCTGTGCTATCACTCCAGCCCTTCAGTATTGTTTTATTCTGGCTTATGCATCCCATTTTGCAGTAAATAGATATCTACAATGTTTCTTTGATATAAAGATGTAAAGAATAGCTTCTTAGTACCTGTATTGCAAACCGTAATGTCCCAAGAAGGAGAAACAGACAGACAGACAGACTGAAGGAAAGTGCCTGCATGACAGACAGGAAGGGTAGCGGGAGGGAACCTGGGGACACGGGTGGTGGAAAATGTACCCTGGTGGTGGGGTGGGTGTTGGGACACTGTATGACTGAAACCCAACTATGATCAGCTTTATAAATCTGTATCTAACAGTGATTCAAAAATAAAATTAAAAAATATATATATATATATTTAGAACCTCTTGACCCCTCCAAAAAAAAGTTTGTTATCTGATATGTTATAAGTGGTTAGTGTATTTTACTGTTGTTCATGTATTTCACTATTGCCAAACACAATACCCTGTGCATAATTGGCATCGTAAAAAATATTTTTGGATGATTGTCACCTCCCCCTATTATTGCAGGCTTGCATAGCAATGTTTGTACCTGAGATTCTGACTCTCATTCTAGCTGACTGATGCACCGATGGATGTCTGAACCCAGGTCAGCCAATTTGATGTTCTTTCAAAATGTTGACCAAAATGTCATCAAATGTCACTGTAAACTGAGACCTCCCGGTACATTGTAGTTAAGGTTAAGTGACACTTTGTATCTCAAAATTAGATGCAAACCAAACATATGGGAGATAAGAACATTCCAGAAGAATTTTGTCGACAGAGAGAAAAACCGAGATTTTTGGTTAAGAGACCACTTGAAAATACAAAGTGAGTCAATGACTCTCGGGTGATCTTCTAGATTGTAATGTCTAGCTTTGTTCTTTTTGAGTTCTTTGTTTGTTTTGGGGGCCACATGCAAAGGTGCTCAGGGGGGGTTCTCCTCACTCTGTGCTCAGGAATCACTCCTGGTGGGCCCAGAGAACCACAGGGAAATGCTGAAAATCAAACACTGGTGTACTGTGTGCAAAGCAAGTCCTCTACCTACTATGCTATCACTTGGCCCCTCATTTTTGGATTTCATGAAATCAAAGTTTCAGTTGTCCTTTAAAAAATTCTACATTCTAAAAAAATTCTCCTCTAGGGGCTAGAGTGATAGTACAGCGGGTAGAGCATTTGCCTTGCATGCAACCGACCCGGGTTCTATTCCCAGCATCCCAGATGGTCCCTTGAGCACCACTAGCAGTAATTCCTGAAGGTAGAGCCAGGAGTAACCCCTGAGCATCGTCAGGTGTGACCCAAAAAGAAAAAAAAATCTCAAGAAAATTTCTAATCACTGAAAGCAACAAAGGTTTACTAGCTGACCAATTAACAAATGTTCTAAACACATGAGAGTCTTGTCACTTACTTAGTTCACTGAGAGAAAATCTCTGGTGTGACTTACGGTTTTTTCTTGTTTAATTTTCAGAACATATTATATACTAAAGCAAGGACATGGCCCTAAAAGCCTCAGAAACGTTTGAGAACTGGATACCTAAGATAATTTCTACGGATTCATAAACCATACACGGCGAGAGGGAAAACACCTCTTGCGTTTCTCAAAGAATAGCTCTTTAGTTAGAGATTCTAATGCCTATTCTGCTCCCTAGGTGGCATTTGAGTAGCGAGACTCCTTGGCAGTCCCAGAGAGAACACCGCTGCCGGCTGGATCTGGGCCCCAGCTCCTCTTAAACTCACATGCATGAGTTCACCAACCTACCCCCAGTTCTCCATGAGAACCTGACAGCCGCTTGTCACTGGTGACTTTGTCACCTGCTCACCACACAGACATGCTGAAACATAGTCCCAGGCTGGCTTCCGAGGGATCAACACATTATGAGGAGATGACGATGGATCAGTGAGACAGCCTGGCAAGAATGCAGGCTATGAAAGAGGGATGCAGTCTCCCTGAAGAAGACTTCAAAGCAAGAGTTGGAATTACTCTTGGAAATGAGCAAGTTCGTGGAAGAGAACGTCAACAAAGAGCGTGTGGGAGAAATTTTGATACAAAGTCCAAAATAAATCATATAACTAACGAATACAGCATTTTAATGACAAAGATACGGAACAGGAGCTGAACGCAGAATGGGAATAGCAAAAGAGCTGAATCAAAGTATTCAAAAATAAAGGAATTAACGCTACAAAAAAAAAACAGAAATGGGCAAAAGGAAAAGAATAAAAAAGACAATAGCGGTAATGGCAGAACTATCTGAAACGGCATCAAAAGGAAAACTTTCACAACACAGAGATACCAGAAGAAAAGAAAGAAAGGGCAGATTTCTTACCTAAAGAAATGACAGCCAGAAATTTCCCCAAGTTGCGAAATGTGCCAGACCCAGGAAGCTTTAGGAGTTCCAAATATATTTGGGAAATGAATCATGTCCTAATTTTTCATTTACATTCTGTTGAATATTTCTTTTACTGTATTCAAGATATTTAATAGATTCCACTTTGAGTCTTAGCTTCTTTTGTTATTGCTGTTGTTTTTAAGGTTCCACCCATCTTGCTCAGGGCTTATTCCTGGCTCCGTGCTCAGGGATCACTCTTGATAGCATTCAGGGGACTGCCTGGGGTAGTAGAGATCAAACTGGGATGGGCCATGTGCAAGGAAACTGCCTTAACCCCTCTACTACCTCTCTGGCCCTCTGGCTTCTACTCCACAGGAAAAGGAAAATAAAGTAGGCATTTAAATTTGACCTACTTTTCAATAGTGACATTTGAAAGTATTTCCCCTTAAGATTTCATTTTTATTTTAAGACTTTCCTTTTTATTTGATATCACTGTCACTGTCCTCCCGTTGTTCATCGATTTGCTCGAGCGGGCCCAGTAACGTCTCCATTGGAGACTTTGTTGTTACTGTGTTTGGCATATCAAATATAACATACTTTTTTGGTA